TTCTATCGCTAATGTTTGAGTGTTATAGGTACACGCTAAATTACCCATGAGTGCACTACAATAATGACGATCGAATTTCTCAAATCAAACTCCCCGTACCCCGCGCTTCCCTCGATCAAAAATTGGTGGGGCGCGTCTTCGTGGATGAAACTATCTATAACTATGGAAACTGATGGTATTGGCTAGTACCTAGCAAGTAAATAAAAAATATGAAGAATTAAATGATAAACTAAATCATTTAAAAAATCACAAAAGAATATAATTATGTTGAGTTTAGTCACAATACTAGCTTTAATACCTTATTACTACAATTACTTTTCGAACAAACAATACCCATAATAATAATTATTAGTTTCCATTTTCATTGCTAATTTGACACCATAATTGGGCTTATTAAAAACTTTCAACGAGAAACACAAATTGCTTCAAAGTAATTGAGAAAACAATCCATTATTTAGCTAACTCTGAAACGTGACTGAACTTCATAAAGATACGCAATGCGGGCCGTTAGTGTTAATTTTTATTACGGTATTAACCTGCACAGTTATGGAAGTAAGGTTGGTTGTAGGTTAATGTATGAAAGTCGTTCGTTTCAGTCAAATGACGTCCACTGCTGGACAAAGGCCTCCCTCAAGGGTTTCCACAACGAACGGTCCTGCGCTGCCCGCATCCAGGTGCTTCCCGCTAAAGCCCGGTCTGTGAGCACGTAGATTTTTTTCCAATGCTACCCATCCTTTTTTATTTGAAGGGACGCGCTGGAGGAGCTTTTCCAGCTTCACCGGGCAGAGTGGCGAGTACAGAAGGTACTCTAGCCGTTTGGCGATCGTCGGTGCGCGTGCCGACGAGGCCGAGTGTGGGCTTCGCTTCGCGAAGCCCAGGCTCGTCCGCGTCGGTCGCAGACCGACGTTCGCCATCGGGCCGTATCGAGCGCATAAGGCGCCCGATCAGTGGCGAACCCAACTAGAGGGTTGCCCACCGCGGTGTTGGACCTAAGTCCAGCCTACGGCGGGCTCACTCTAGTGGGCCCGATCGAGGTACCCATCCTTATCGCACGCGCGTAATTATATTGGTGTCGCGACTGTGAGACTGGCACCCGCAGTGAGTGTGCGAGCGCGATAGCAACATAATTACGCGCGAGCGATAAGGATGGGTAGCTTGGGGTCATTGGACAAAATTCTACGTGCTCACAGACCAGACTATACCTTCAAGTTCGAGCTACTGGGAACTGTCTTCTGGCCCGTAATCGTCACTCGAGAACTTTTCTACCCCAGCAATTTTATTACGAAGCTGGGTATTAACCTCATCGTTATGGAGAAGGTTGTTTGTAGGTTAATGATTTTGAAGTCAGGATTTAATATTTACATACTTATGACGCAGGACCGTGATAGAAATCCTTTGGGAAGGTCTTTGTTATGAAATAACTACATGAAAAATATCACCAAAGTACGTTTTATGTCATTTTTCAGTGGCTTTTTTTTATGAATAACAAGGCAGGTATTTGAACGCAATCGCACCTGATGTTAAGTGGGATGCAGTCAAGGATGGTACATTTATCTGCCCTGTAAGTGCCTATTCACTCTCGCCTTGAAAAGATCCTATTCAAGACCCTTTTATGGTCTTAAATAGTTCACAAGAATTAATTCAACGATTTTTGTGCTTGAAATAACGTAACTTTACAAATACTTAAAATTAAAAGAAAAAACAAAGAACCTAGGTACTGTAATAGTTTTATCAGACCAAAGTTGTAGTTCTTTAAAAGCACAGACGAAAACCATTTCACGCACCATTTGCATACTCAAAAAGTCAAGAATCAAGATGTATCTCTTCAAATCATCAGCTTTAGTTTTACGAGGCCGGAGTGCCCTTTATTCACGTTCGTTCACTTTTAATGCCCTCTCGCTATAAACGCTTTAATGGCCGAAGGGCGGTCGTTTCCGTACCATTGGCACCTTGGACTGTCGACAGCATAACAGATTGTTCATTTTTGTGGCATAATAGCTCTTGTTCCAACTACGTAAGATTGTTTACCCTTATAACGACTGCTTTCAGATTGTGAAGCTTTCGGTTTACGGCAAACCCTTTTTAAAGTTTCGTGTTTTAAAAGAAAAATGCGCGAACCCAAGAGGATTTTGTGCTCTGCCGGTGATAGTAAACGCCTAGAAACGCGTCGAGGTATCATGAAAAAAATAATATTCATAATTATGTCTTCAATCCCTCGGAAGGTAAAAAAAACACACTGAACATTATATTTCTTGGTTGCTATACTGTCAAGATGATATTACTAAGTGGGAGTGACCTTTTTGGCATCAAAATTTTTGTATGATGTTTTATAAATCTATATCTATATAAGTGAAAGGTCACTGACTGACTGACTCACTGACTCATCACGAAATCTCAGAAACTACTAGTGCTAGGAGTCTCAAATTCCATGGGGGTTCTTTTTAGAACGTAGGTGCTCATTAAGATGGGATTGTGCAAAATTCAACCCTTATGGGGGTAAAGCGGGATCCACGCGGACGAAGTCGCGGGCGGCTGCTAGACTAGTGTATTTTATGTTACAGTTAAAACCCGTTTTCATTTATACATGTGTTTTTTTGCTTTTCTATTCTTTATTTTATCTGAAAGAAAGAAAGAAAGAAAGAAAATAATTTTATTTTGACAACAACAGATTCAGGGAACAAAGACATACATAAAAAAAAAATACTTAGTTGCCAAAAAAGGTCACCCACTCAGTAATATCTTGACAGTGTGACTGCCAAGACACTGATTTTCAGTGGGTGCCTTTTTGCAGCGCTATTTAACAAAAACAGAAAGAAGAGTAAAAAATAATAATAAAAACCATAAATTAATAATTCAATAAATTAATCAATTATACAAATTTTAAATTAAATAATAACAACATACATAATTAATTAAATTAAAAACATAACAATATTAATAAAATTCATACATAGACATGTCAAAACAAAAACCATTTCTACTGCATGGCCATAAAAGTCGAGGCAGAGACAGAAGAGAAAAAAAATACATAAAAAAAAAGTATCACTTGTCATCAAGTTGATTTGACAATTGCCACGTCCACCAGCCACGTAACAAAAATTATCAATCGGTTTTTGCAATACATACTAATTATAATTAACTTAACTTTTATAAAATTGTGATTAAATTAAATTGAGTAGAAATTATAAAATTGTGGTTAAAATAATTAAAAATGTCATAATCAGGTGCCGAGAATTGATAAGAACATAGGTGAGTGGATTTTTCTAACATTGACGAATAATCCCGCGTGTCTAATAAATAATTTACTCAAATAAATAAATATTATCTAGTACATTCTAAGCTCTATGGAGCATAGATTAGTGTGAAGCTTCATATCCGAGTGTTCGGCGACAATGCGAGCATCGATTTGTCTGACATCCATACTGGTGTATGAATCGCGGTGTTTGTATGCCAAACAAAGACATACAATGGATATTAAAACCTATGCGGTTGTTTGTTCGAGTTCAAATTCTGATAACTGGGGTTCTTGATGGGTCTTCAAAGATTTTTGCGCCAAATCAGTAATGCTTCAACCACACCAACGGGTGCAGATCGCCATCGCCGGCGTGATCATAGGGAAATGACAGGTCGCGTGAACTGTCATGGGTCGCGCGACCTGTCATTGGCCTTTGATCGCGTCGGCGATGGCGATGAAAATTGCGTCAAGCCTCAACACATTATCTTTATTCTTTCCTGGTTCTACTCTTCATTTTTTCTGACCAAAAAAAGCCAGAGTTATCAAAAATAATTAGCACAGTCCTCGCCTCAATTTTTTTTACCTGAAAACCTTACATTCCACTAAGTCATCTTTCTTTTGTTACATTATTATAGATAGGTATTTAACGGTTCTCGAGTGGCGACCACGGGCAGGAAGACGTAGCATGGGCAGGCCTACTATTGTGGAATACCTTGGGGGAGGCCTTTGTCCAGCAGTGGACGTCATTTGGCTGAAACGAACGAACGAACTTAATGGTTTAACGGTTGTGTACCCTTCCTGGTATTTAAACTTGGGTCTTCCAAATTGTCAGTGGCAATTTGTCACGCCTTACTTGTCATAGAGGCCAAACATTCAGTTAATGTTAAAATCTTTGCTCACAAAACGAAACACTGTCAGATTTGTTACTATAAAGGCCATTATAATGGATCATAACTTTGGGAACCCTTTGAGGAAACCTTTTAAGGCTCCCAATAAAGCGCCGATAGCCTAAAGTTCTAAAGTGGTCATTATAAAGTGGAACAAAGTGCTTTTAACGGTACGGTTTTAAATTTAACCCTTTTGTTGTAGAATAAAGATTGGGAATCGATTAAATTTAGTTTCTAGTTCATAAACGGTGTATCTAGCTAAGTAAGTAAATGTATCGTCAGGAACATCCTGATTGGGATTTAAATCGAAAAGTGATTAAATTTTGAAAAGGTACCTTCGTGAATACGACACAGTCCGTCACACACAGTCGTAAACTCGACAACTTCAAGAAAAATAAGCCTAAAATACTCCAACCTGTTTAAGTAGTATCGATGATTCAGAAGAATTACATTGAAAGAAATTTCAATTCCCATAGTCCAGGTTATGGAAAACCATTCAATCATGTCCTTACTCAACTTCAAAACACACTCTAATAATAATTTAAATCTCACTGAATTATCGAATTCATATTTTCTGTCTGCAATATTTTCTAATTCTAAAGTTCAATAAATCCCTTTCGCTGGCCAAATAAAACTTTCCTAACAAAGACAAATGCCCCCGAACTTGTAATGCCAGAAATTAAGTGATAGCAGGTTTTAGAAGTTGGCCTATTTATCTAATAAAACAGAGAGGTAACGCAGATTTGTGGAGCTTAACGACTTATTTGATCACGAAGGAGAACTTTTAGGTACTGATAAAATACTTTGGATAATCTATTTCAAATTCGATTGTATTATAAGATTTGTTGCACCTGTATCATTCATAGCATTTTACGTACCTCGTGGTCTGGAGGTGAGAGAGAGCCGGATTCTCTCGATCCTGGGGTCATCAGCAGTCTCATAGCCATAACCGACCAAATGCACGAAATCCCGGCCGAATGCACAAGAAAACACTACCGTTATTTCTATAAAAATATTATTGGCAGGTAGTAGTTGCTAATTGCTCATAAGATAGACCCCCTTAATTGATATTTATTGTCCGTGGTGCATAATCTTTTCTTAAAGGTTTTAAACCTTTGTTTGTCACCTGTCATCCGCTTTGCAATGGAGGGAAGTTGAACCTTAATTTCGAACTCCTCCCATGTTCTTCTGATTAATTTCGTTACAGTTTAAACTTTCCCCCGGGACAAACTTGACCTTCATTGGTTGGGTTTTTGTGGCAGTCAAGCTGTGGATCATGGCTACACAGGAGTTGCAGTGGTGGGAATAGTCCCGAATACCGTTATTTCTCTGTGAATATCCTTTGTATTCCACCTGGTCATCAAACCCAGGTCTTATGAGTTCAGTGATCTTGTCTCTCCAACTGAGAGACGAGAGAATAGTTAGGCTGAGTTGCACCACCTAACTTTAACCGTAACTATAACGATAGTCGGTGTTTTTTGTGTGGAGTTTGACAGATTTTTGACGTTTGTTACAGTTAGGTCAAGATCATCCATTTTCAACAGCAGCACATGGATCTACTGTCACTGGCTAAAAAGAATATAGACAGAAAAAAATAAAGGGCTTTTTAAGTAGCTTACAATAATGTATGGTATTTAATAAACAAATAACCCAACTGCGTAAAAATGAACTAAAAAGATAAAAACAAGACAACTCAGCCTTAGTGTTCACAAATGCAGGAGGCATCAATGACTAATAATTATTTTGTTGGTGACTATGTATTTGATTGTCCTCCTTCTGGCGCAGTCGGGTAAAAACAAAACAATGTAGGTAATTGCGATTCTACTGCATCAGTACTAGCTGTGGCAAGAACAACAAAGGGTGAAATTGGAAGGAGTTGCAATTAATATAATTTCGGGCCAATTTTTCGCTGTCACTTCGGATTTGACGGCGTTTTGAATCACCTTCTAGAAGAGATATTGCGGCAATCAGTGTTATTTCCTGGAGCCAAGATAATGATCTGTATCCATTCATTTAAACTTGAATGGGAATGAGAATGAGAATTTAAATTGTGTCACTCCAGTGTAGAAGTACGTTCATTATGTACAATGACTTCAAATAAAACATCAAGCAGTCTTTCGTATTCACAAACATTTCTATGAGGTTTCACAGTGCGCGTGGACGCATAGGGTGACACTCGAACCAATCACAGAGCTCTATTAAATGCTGTGCGTTCGATATGCTGTTTCACTTAAGCAAGCATCGTTTGTAAATACGGGCGTTTGTATACTTAGTTATTGTAGGACCGTAGTATACACGTCGTGTGAGGTATTGGTCGTAATATCATAATCCCATCAAAAACAATACTTGTCAAAAAAACCAAGTCTCGCAACTCAGTTGTTCTACGGTAAAAAGTTGTGAGATCCATGTAATACCAAGTCCAGGCCAGGAAATCTTTAACGTTTTACATAAATTATTGACTTGGCCATCGCACTAAATAATTTTATTTACACGTGTTTTCATGCGATGGCCAAGTCAATATATTTATGTAAAACGTTAAAGATTTCCTGGCCTGGACTTGGTATTACATGGATCTCACAACTTTTTACCGTAGAACAACTGAGTTGCGAGACTTGGTTTTTTTGACAAGTATTGTTTTTGATGGGATCTCATTTCTTTTTGTATTTTGTAGACAGCAGTTATGTATCTAGAAAACTGGACCGAAATTGAAAAATTTTACTCGACTTGGCGGTTGCACTACCGTGCCCCCAAATATTTTAGTTTTTCCTTGATTCATACACCAAACACTACTTATATTCCAAATTTGAAGCTTCTAGGTCTGCTAGAAGTGCCTTAGAGTTTTGATGATCGGTGAGTCAGTGAGTGAGTCAGTGAGTGAGTGAGTCAGTCAGTGAGTGACAAAATTAAGTAACTTTGACCCGTTATAATTCTTAAACTACTGGTTCAAATTGAATGAAATTTTAAATATACCGTGTCTTTACAATGCCTGCATAGCTAATGAAAATTCAGCCTTCTAGTTTTATCCACAACGAAGTTACAGGCGGTCGAAAATGGCCTGAATTGCTTCGAGAAAAGGATGGTACGGCCGTGCCGCTTTTTTGCTCGACTTGTTGGGGGCACTGCCGTGCCCCCAGATGTAAAGCTTGATTGATAATCAGCTAATGTAGGTACTGATCCTTTATAAATATTTTCATTGAAATACATCGGTTGATTTTAGTGTGATACCGACACTTTTCTTATATTAAGCACTGTTTTTATACTTACTACTTTCGTCTTTCTCCGATTCTTCCGAGTCCCAAAATTAACCCATTAACGCCCGCCGTACAATAAATAGTACACAACTTTAAGTTACGATAAATCTGGTTTAGTGGGTATTTTTACTCTGGAAATAATTACAATCGGTAAACAAAGGTCTATGCATTATATCCTGAGATGAAACAGACCATAACGATACAATCTTAAGGGGGTATTTTGCGATTTCGTTTCAGTGATTTTTTCGTGTCTTCTAGTGGGTACTTGATAATTTTTTATGCAAGGTTTAAGTTACACAAAATACCAAATAAGTTGTTTGTGTAATAGCTAACAACATATCCTAATAAAAAATACAAAGAAAAGTTCATTTCATGGAAAGTTTTTCATGCTATAACTCCCAAAGTGATGCTGTACTAACTTTTGTACAATGGGCGCTTGACACGTTACGTAAAATAGCACAGTAACGACATTATTATTAGAGTGTTTACCTATTGCTTCATAGTTTTTATATGTAATCATTGTTTTCTTTTTCCAATGACATGGCTCTTTATTTATGGGGTTACAGACAACAAAAAGAAACATTTTGTTTTCCCAATTATGACCTGTTTGTCGACCTAAAGAGACTTAGTTACATAGTTTTTGGAACCACACGTGAAAACAGAACCAAACGGTATCCTTTGATTACTTATAAAGATTTTCACAAAAAGCATAGAGACTTATTCGACAAGCCAAACATAATTTTACTAGTATTGATTGAAAGATAATAATGTAAGTACTATTGGATCAAATTTTGATGCTTTAGAACCATTGGGAAAGGTCATTATTGGGGTCTTTTGATAAAAAACCAGTAGAGTTAGGCACCACAGGGTGTCCAGCTACAATATAATAAGAAGATCAGTGGGTTAGATCAGATGGCTAGTCTATAGAACTTTACCAAATTGAGGTAAAAGGAAAAAAAGCGGTGGATGGGTCTTGTTCGCTTATATGGTGGACATGACAATTTCAAATGCATGCAGACTGCACTGCATAGTAAACCCATATAGTCGCTTAGATCAGCTAGCATTCCGAAAATATATAGTACGCACATATTTGACCTATAAAAGATAAATAAAAGTAGGTAGTCTTGCTCTAGTTGATGGAGAAAAAATATGAAATAATGGTTATAATCAAAATAAACCAGCAAACAAGCGGATTTGACAGCTTAAAATTACTGTGCGTTTCAATAGAGTCAAAACAGCTTATAGCAAGTGCCTGAAAATACTGTGCCAGGATGGAGAAAGCTTTGCTCAATATGACTCATAAGCACCCATTGTACAAAACTTAGTACACCCCTGAAAATCTAACTTCTGATTTTGTTTTTGGTTTTCTTTCTGTTTAGTATTATTTTTGAAGTATTTTTATAAAGAAAATAAACATTGGCTATGTGAAATTGACCGTAGTTTTCATTTGGGCGTTAATGGGTTAAGCAAAGCTCTTCCTAGTGAACGAATATTTAAAGTGTAAATATGACGTAGGGCATCCAGAAAGTACAAATTTAATCATCATCATCATCATCATAATTTCAGCCACAGGACGTCCACTGCTGAACATAGGCCACCTCCAATGACTTCCACATCGCACGGTTGGTAGCGGCCTGCAACCAGTGCCTTCCTGCTACCTTTAACAGGTCGTCGATCCACCTTGTGGGTGGACGTCCCACGCTGCGTTTTCCGGTACGGGCCTCCACTCCAGAACCTTGCTGCTCCATCGGCCGTCAGTTCTGCGTACTATGTGCCCTGCCCATTGCCACTTCAGCTTGCTAATCCTTCGGACTATGTCAGAGACGTTAGTTCGTTTACGAATCTCTTCATTTCTGATTTGATCTCGTAAAGAAACATCGAGGATAGCCCTTTCCATAGCACCCAATTGAATATTTACGTATTCGGAGTAAATATTTGTATGATCCTGAGATCAGACCTGAAGAGTCCTGAATTTGAGTACTTATTTTAGTTCATAAAAAATCGCTACTCTGCATATATCACTCCCATTTTGACCCCTCTCTAAATATTTTTCCCAGAACGTTGTAATATGCAAATCACTTATCTCTCTAATTTGTTTTGCAAACAGTTAGCTTGTTCTTTCACATTTAATTTTTATTTCGAGATATATTATGCCTATTTATTTCGGCTCGACCATTCGCATTGATCACGGCTCCTCAGAATACTTTGCACGGTAGACGCCGATCGTTCGTATCAGCCAAATGACGTTTACTGCTGGACAAAGTCCTCTCTCAAGGATTTCCATAAAGACCGGTCTTGCGCTGCCCGCATCTAGACCTCTCCCGCGACCTGGTCGGAAGACTAGGTGGACCGACGATCTGTTGATATAAAAGCCATATTAAAAAAAAATCTACGTTATACTTGTAATTTGACTATGAATTACTGAAATATTAGATATCATTACGTATTACATGTTGTCCTTTTCACTTTGAAAAATTTGAGTGTAGCGTCTATTCACATGAGTGGTCTGTGTTAATTTCACATAACATTAATTCGACGTTGCTAAATAAAACCAAATGATTCAATTCTCTCACATAATTTATTTGTACATTTGTGAATATTTTTCGGGCTAGACACATAATTCACTATTGGAAAATGGTGTGGGGGCCGTTTATTTATAGGTATATAAACATACATCATTGATTATTTTAACATTAGATTTTCACAACTTTGTAATACTATAGATAGACCCATTAATTACAAAATAATTAACTTTTAGATCCATTTAAATAATCTATCTCTTAGAACAATTAAAGATTAGTATTTGGAAACTTTAGTTTACAATAACATATTTAATTTCATATCGTATCTTCTGGAGATTAGGATAAATGTTCAATAGCATCACCAGGGTTGTGTCATAGAAACATGTCAACATAATTATTTGTCAAAATAAACTGTCATGACTAGTGTTCTTACATCATAGAAAAGCTCTGGAAGTATTGTTTAACATTTACATTAAATATTATAATATTAAAGATAATTACATTAAATATTATAAGATACTGCTCAATATTATTATTACTATGTACAGTTTACAAAAATAGGATTGTGGAAAATACTATGTACAGTTGATTAGAGGATAAAAATCTTATGTAAATACATTAAGTAGGTAAATGCAAAAGTATACACAGTTTTAAAATGTTTGTTTTTTTCTCTACTTAAGAAATTAAAAGAGAGATTGAACACTTTGTGCTTCAAGAACTTCATAAATTACTACTTATTAGTGTTTAAGCACACACTATTTAAATTATATTTTATAATTACAGCTCGCATATAATTTTGGTCTATTATAATATTATTAAAAAAGCGTAGATAAAAACACATAGAAACTTTTTAGCCGTTTCACGTTCAAGTTCTCTTAGTTTGATGAAAATAGCCAATCACTTGTTTGGACATAATAATGGTCATAAAATAAAAACAAAGAGGCAGAGTTACATAACATTAACATAGATTTCAATATATTTATCTTCATTTCGAAGTCCTGCTAGCATTATAATTAATATATTAATTTATGTACAAAACAAAAATATCTCACGTATAAATACATTCCTCTACATTATAATTTTATTTTAATATTCAATTTAATTTTAAATCTTGATAAAGAATCAAAATATATTCCAGCCTGTGATTAGGCCACACAAATTTGTGTCTATGTTTAAGTATATCGTTTCATCCAGGAAGACGCTCCCCATAAATTTTTGGTCGAGGCAAGCGCGGGGTGCGGGGAGTTTGATCCGAGCAATCCGAGATTCATTATTGTAGTGTGCGTGTGCACTCATGGGTAATTTAGCGAGTACCGATAACACTCAAACATTAGCGGAAGAATGGTTGTGCGCTTCGTGGATGAAACGATCTATAGGTGTGTACATGATAGCAATTTCTACGAGCCTAAGATCCAAGTTCACTGAACCATGGCACAACTATTTTTGCAAATGGCAAACCAATGACTAGTTAAAAGGAATTCCGAACATTGTTTCAAAAACAATTCACAGCTCAATCTTCTAAAGATAGACCGCCATGTTTTCCAAAACATGCCGTTTCCTGCCGCCGTGTTTATAAACAAAATTATAACGTAACAGCAATTATTTTGGTCACTCAATCGTTATGCGGATTGTGGTTTCAAAAAATATTTTTTAAAATAGGAAGTTCATAAACAGAGCGCGAAAAAGATGTACTTTTAACGTAGTCTAGGTAACCGAGACTACTAATGTGAAATAGTATCTAAAAATTTTTTTTCTGTTCTGAGCTGAGGCTAGTGTTTGACTCTATAAGCCGCTATTAACGGACTCACAACTCAAATAATCAATATTGGTAGGCTTGTGGGATGATTTTAGTGGCTGGTGGAGAACTTACTTTTCCTACTGGTTAAATGACATTTTAAAAACTAGGTACTTAAAATTTTATCATTTATAAAGAGTGTGGTATCTATGTACAAAGCTTGTCTGTGTTAATTTTTACTGCAAGATTCCTCTCTATTTCTTTTTGACTCTAACCAGTCTTAGACAGGTAATTTGAAAAACATTACTAGCTTTTGAAAAAGTTGATTAATTTTTGCCGTCACACTCTTTGTCAACCTTGTGGTCGGCTACAAATGTTACATTATACATACAATCATATAAATTAAATGAATATGGCAGTTCACATCTTAAATCCAAAATACTAGAAAATCATTATTACACACTACCAACTGCTTAGCGGTCGTTGTCACAAATTAATTAGGATAATAATACTGTGAGGTATTAAATCTCTGCTAATTAGACAGACATAACGAGCTCGAAAACAAAAGTAATTTAGCGGGACAGTGAAAAAGAAGATGCCTTTTTGCTAACATTTATCAAAGAACGCCATAAATCTTATTCAATCACACAAATGCGACTACAATAAAGTAAATAAGCGATAAAATTTTCCTTTGATATTTTTTTATGTATCCTAAAGATTCATAAACTTTATATAAATTTTGATCAAATTCCATTTGTCTACTGAGATTTTTTAGGAAACTTCAAAATCATATCTAAATTAATACACAACTAGATTTATAATAGTTTAGTTTAACGATGTATTCATAATGTTATTTACAAGAATTTTTAACAAAAAAATACAACAATATCATCTACAAACACAAATATAAAACGAAAACTTATTATTTAACATACAGTATTAACTTTCCTCTTATTCTTAATCTGACAACTATTAAGACTACGGTTAAATTTAAATTTAAACCCGTTTTTGGTTTCGTCGTTCAGTGTGAAAAGTTCCTTAGAATCTTTGTCGTTTTCTCTATAATCGGTGCAAGTATCGCTGTACCTTTCGTCCATGATGTGTTTCTCGTTGCAGCTAGTGCCGGGGCCTTTAAAGCAATCGTAGTAAGGTTTACAATCGATGCTGTTGGTACTTTTGGCTATGTAAGTGACGATGCCGTCAGATCTGTTCCGAATGTTGCCGTAGTATAAGTCCTTGCCCAACTGTCAATCTTTACCGACATCGGTTGTGAGAGTGAATCTGGTGGCTGACTCGCTGATGGAGTCATCTCTGACTTTGGGGCGGCGGCCATTGATTTGTTCGATGAAAGAAGTGTTGGTGTTCCTGACGTAGTCTCGATGGATACTGTTGTGGTTGGAAGGGGAGAGGTGGGTGAGGCGGTAGCTGACGCAAGAGTCGTTCCTCCTGACGACAGTCCTGGTGGTACCAGCTCGGGAGCTGCCAACGGGAGCGAAGGAGGTCCCGTTCTGGTCAGGGGCAGACTGGTTGAGGCAGCAACAGAAGCACTTGAAGTAAGACCTGTGGAACTCCCTACGGAATTTGCCTGGAACAATAGAAACGCTGTTGGGGAGATTTTCTAAGAATACTGTACATGGGATATAATTTAAAAAGGTACTTTTAAGTGACTTTTCAGGGTGCATTAAGTGATGATACTGTTTCAAAGTGGACAAACTTAAAATTTGTGTCTTTAAAAATACCACGGTGCGATCTTATGTTTGAAAAAGTGGCCATGCAAAATAAAGTAAAACATTAATCTGAGGTGGGATTCTAAATACCAAACAAGGTGCAAATTACGATGTACTTGTCAGTTCTCAGCACATCAAGTGCCACAAAATAATCAATTCTGAGAAAATTCGGTATTTTGTAGAAGCTTGAAGTACCATCGACTGTACTAAATGCAGTACTATTTATTTTGCATGCGTACAATTAACAGCTTGCCACTCAAAAAGAATTTCAAGAATCAGAAATAAATAATATTTTTAAAAGGGTAAAACGTGGGTGCAACTTTTGTATGGCGCACACTTTCTGGGAGAGTCTGGATTTTAACGCGTGCAAAAACTAGTATTGAATAGGTATCCTACACATTGCGTAACTATACTAAGCAGGTCTTTTGACTCCAGACGTAAAGGCGTTCCTTGCTACTTCAAATTGATTCAACTTTTTACAAATTTTGTAGATCCTCGCTTCTTTGTAAAGCTCGTAACAAAGGTTACAGACTTACAGACAAGACGGTTGGAAACTACTAAGTTTTAATTAATAAAAGTTAGTGCCTTTAAATATTTTGAGACGTTATAGTTTTTGCAACACAAGAAGGCGAGTGAGCTTTACTTGCGTGTGTACGTGTACATGCACATAACGATAGTGTAATGTCTATCAAAACTTTTGAAAAGCGAACAGTAGCGAGCCACCACACATAACTCACTCGCCTTCGTGAATTGCAAACATCTATACCTAAACTACTTTTTTACTTCTCAAAAATTCTATTTTTTTGGAGCTTCACAATTTTCTAGCCTTATGAGATAGAGTCTTATAAATACTTGGAATCTTCCCAGAATACTAGATTTATTAACTTGAGGTTCTAATTAAATTGACCGCTTTTGAAGTTCTACATTAAATAGACCGAATTTAAAAATTAGCTCGTAACTAAAGCCCAATTTTTTAATTTCAAGCCTTTATGTTTAGTTTTCTGTAGAAGGGTTTGTATTTAAGCGTAAAGATTTGGATACTATGTAAACCTCATTTTCCAAATTACTTTACGCCAGAAAATATTCTCGGAAAATACCTACTTATTCGTATAGTTGTCCAACACTGAACCGTCCCGTCCCACTATAACATTGATAAGAGGACCCTTCTATCAATACTGGGTAATCAGTTCCAATTTTTGCCACTTGACATTCCAGAATCATTTGATTATCTAAACTTAAAGGTGACTGACTGACTGACTGACTGACTGACTGACTGACTGACTGACTGACTGACATAGTGATCTATCAACGCACAGCCCAGACCACTGGACGAATCGGGCTGAAATTTGGCATGCGGGTAGATGTTATAACGTAGGCATCCGCTAAGAAAGAATTTTATGAAACTCCACCCATAAGGGGGTAAAAAGGGATCCACGCGTACGAAGTCGCGGGTGGCCGCTAGTAATACATATTATTTTCAAAAGAGCGTGCCCCCACCAAGTCGAGCAAAAAAGCGGCACGGCCGTACCATCCTTTTCTCGAAGCAATTTAGCCCATTTTCGACTGCCTGTAACTTCGTTGTGGATAAAACTAGAAGGCTGAATTTTCATTAGCTATGCAGGCATTGTAAAGACACGGTATATTTAAAATTTCATTCAATTTGAACCAGCAGTTTAGGAATTATAACGAGTCAAAGTTACTTAATTTTGTCACTCNTGAACCAGCAGTTTAGGAATTATAACGAGTCAAAGTTACTTAATTTTGTCACTCACTGACTCACTGACTGACTCACCGATCATCAAAATTCTAAGGCACTTCTAGCAGACCTAGAAGCTTCAAATTTGGAATATAAGTAGTGTTTGGTGTATGAATCAAGGAAAAACTAAAATATTTGGGGGCACGGTAGTGCAACCGCCAAGTCGAGTAAAATTTTTCAATTTCGGTCCAGTTTTCTAGATACATAACTGCTGTCTACAAAATACAAAAAGAAATTTACGAAACTCCACCTCTAAGGTGGTAAAACGGGATCCACGCATACGAAGTCGCGGGCGGCCGCTAGTTTTAGTATAAAATTAATAATGTCACATTAATTTATCACAAGTGCCAATTTTATTGCGAGTTAAAATTGAAATAAGAATTTTCGCTCTCCAAATTCGTTTATTGCTCATGCATACGCATGAGTATTATTTCATCTTAATTTAATTCCTGAAACTCCATATTTGAAGATCGATTTCACCTCAATAAGTAATCCAATTCTTATGAAATGTAAGGGAAATGAATACCATTGGAAGTATTGGAATGCTGTTCCAGATGATTGAATTCTCATGCTGAAGAATTGGGTTCTTCGAAAAACATTTGCCTATCGCTAATAAAGTTATGACGTCGATGAGTGCCTTCTTTATGCGTACTAAAGATAGCACATCAGAATATAAATTTTTGTGCCAAAATCGCCTTTATTACAACAACTGAAGATGCTTCAGTGTTTGGCGTTATGCCATCGTCTGTACTGTTTTCTTAATTTAAAGTTTGGGTGGTAACAATTATTGAAGTTACAGGTTTTATTTTCAGACTTTACGGGTTCTATAATTATGTAAGTATTGGGGTCCATAGCAATTTCGTTGTTTTGTTTGAACTAAGCTCTTCTTTTTACTGGCGGTCAAACTGTAGATCTACACAGGAGTTTCAGTGAATATGTCCAACTCAGAAAAGATTTGACCAAAATGTTTTGATTTATTTGAAAACATTTACAAATATCAAGCACAACAACGTTATCAAAATATTGTTCTCCCGTACTAAAGTTATCTCTATCATTGTCGCTCTGCAACTGCATAGAAAAACACTTAGAAAATTGCAAACAGACAAACTTTACTACCTTTTGTGCGCGATATAAAAATGTGCACTAAATTGTCCGTTTCGCTGTCGGGGCAAAACTAAAAATAGAATTCGTAAAAACGAATTTAAGCGTTTTAGCGTTTTCATTCCCGCAAATTCGTAGTGCGGAACGCGTAAAAAATGAGAGCTTTCAAAATTTTAGTGCGAATTCGTTTTGTGTGGCAAACATTAGGGCGGGTGTAGACGAGGGACAGTTCTTAATTTATTGTTTAATTTTGACAAGAATTTAGTAGGTTTTTGAATAAGTACAGTCCCTGAATAAAAAGTTGTGATGAAATTAAAACGAATAATATAAAAGAAGAAAATGAATAATTATATTTTGAATAGTTAGAAAGCATGTGGTAGTTTGACACGGCTGTCACAACACCCACTAGATTCAAGTCCTCTACTAGTATCAATAGTCGACTAACGATACATTTACATTCAAATAAATCAATTTAACGAAACACTATCTAAGGGATCAATCGTTTTGTATTATGTACGTACACTAACGCCCGTTTCCCATATTCAATCCGTGTCCAAATCCGAATTGCAACTGTCAAATTTGAATCTGTTTTCGATCAAATATCCATAATTTTTGATGCTGCTTAACTTTAATATTGTTTAAATAGTGTTATAAAATGTAAAAATATTGAAAACCGTAGCTATTTTGTCCAAAAACATATTGAAATTTGACAGTTGACGAACGGAACTGAATTAGGAATGAATAAAGGAAACCAGCATAAATTAATAGGAAATTGATTAGTTTTGGTTATACTTTTTTGCTTAGTGAAAACTACCTACATCGTTGGTATTAAGACGTGCATGATCGACAATAATATCAATTTCACTAGTTTTCAAAGTCGACTATCGATACTCTATCGTCGCTATCCGCTGCAAACTATTAGTCAATAAGTGCCAATAGTGGTCTAAATTGAATAAAATATTTTTGTTTTTGATTTTGATTGAGTCCATCGTCTACACACACCCTTAGATACCGACTGACCTGAAAACCCGGGGAATCCTGCAATCAAAATAATTAAATGACTTATTTATCTAAAAGTAAAGCATTTATGTAAATGGTAGATAAAGGAAATATCAAGCAAGATAATAATAACAAAGTTAAAAAAGTAAGACGAAATATTGTTTCAGAAAGAGCAAAGATTATAGAACTAAAAGATGGATGGTGTCTGTGATTAAAAATATTTGTTATAGTCCTTTTTTCATCGTGGATTGTGAAAAGGGCTCGTAAGTCGTCGTCGATACGATGTCGCATTGTGGTCGCATCGTGCTACGATGAAGCATCGTTTCACGACGATGTCATATCGAATCTACGACGAACAAGCGACATGATATTTATCGCATTTTATGGCTGAGTTGCGCCATCTTACTTTGACTTTAACAAACGTCAAAAATCTGTCAAATTCTATACAAAAACACCGGTTAATGTTTACCTACTGTTAAAGTACGATGGTGCAATCCAGCCTATTTGTTGTAGCCCTAAAACTTAAGTCAGAACCCTGGTAGTAGACTGGAGTAGTTTCTTGGAATTCATTAATAGTAATCTATACTAATATTATAAATGCGAAAGTAAATCTGTCTGCCTGTCCGTCTGTCTGTCTGTCTCGCTTTCACGGCTAAACCACTGAACCGATTTTGATGAAATTTGGCATAGAGATAGTTTTAGTCCCGGGAAAGGACATTGGATAGTTTTTATCCCGGTTTTTTTGCTTGTTCTTCGAGTGGGTTCACCACAATAGTCCAGCAGCGGGGTTCGAACCTGCGTTGCTCGGATTTTGATTCGGCTGGTTCGTCAACACCATTGGGCTATTGCCGCTTCAATTCATCATTTGGACATAACTTAGTAGTGTCACTTGGGTCTATTCACACTAAGTTTTGGGCCTAAACTTAATAGCCAAAGGAATTATTTAGATGCTCGCCGTTCTTGAGACCAACAGAATTTGGATGCAGTAACGTCACAATTTTA